CAGCATGTCGAGCACTCGCAGCCGCCGCACGGTGGCCGCCGCCCCCGCCCGGTACACCGACGGCTTCAGCGACGACTCGTCGGCATCCGCCAGCGAGATGTCCGACAGCAGTGACACCGACTACGTGGCCAGCCCGGCGCCGGCGGCCGGCCGCCGCCGCGGTCGCCGCCAGATCAACGACAGCGACAGCGAGGCGGCCCACACCGCCAGCGACTCCGACTCGGACTTCGTCGTGGATGACGACGAGCCGGAGGCCCCCCGGCGCCCGGCCAAGGTGCGTGCCCCCCCCCCTCCCCCCCCTGCGGCATTTGCCCCACGCCGCTCCGGGATTCCGGGTCCCCCTTCGCCGCCCGTTCTCCTCGCCAGCGCACTGACCGTGTCCTCCTTCCTCCCCCCCCCCCCGGCCCTCGTGCATGCCCCGGGGCGTTGCTCGCCCGATTGCCCACTTGTAGAAGACCAAGGCCGTCGACGGGGCGGCCAAGGCGGCGGCCCCGGCGCGCCCGCGTGGCCGGCCGCCCGGCGCCGCCGCCGCCGCCCGCAAGGCCGCCGGCGAGCAGACCGCCGAGCAGGCCACGGCTCCGGTGTCTCCGGCGGCCGGGACCTCGGCGCCGAAGGCCCGTGCGGCTCCTCGGGGCCGGCGCGCCGGCGAGGACGAGCCCGCCCCTCTGGACTCGCACGCGCCCATCCCCACTCCCACCGATCTGGATGATTACATGGAGGAGGAGATCCTGCCGGAGGACCTGGACGGGGACGATGCCTCGACCCGGTACCAGAAGATGTCGCACTTGGATCATGTCCTGCACCGGCCGGATTCCTACATCGGCTCGGTGCTGACCGTGCAGCAGCCCATGTGGGTGGCCGGTGATGACCTGCGCCTGGAGAACCGCATTGTCAGCTTCGTGCCGGGTCTGTACAAGATCTTCGATGAGATCCTGGTCAATGCGGCCGACAACAAGGTCCGCGACCCGCGCATGGACAAGCTCCAGGTCAACATCGACGCCAAGGAGGGCCTGATCACGGTCTACAACAACGGTGCCGGTGTGCCGGTGGAGATCCACAAGACCGAGCAGGTGCGAGAGCATATATCATGCGCCAGCGGCCGCTTCTTTCTTCTTTTTTCCTTTCCCCCCTTTTACGCCCCCGTCGCTCCTCTTTCCCTCTGCAGGCGTCTGACCCTTGTTCATTCCTCGATGTCCTTCATCCCTCAATATCCTTCACCCCTCAATATCCTTCATCCCTCAATGTCCTTCATCCCTCAATGTCCTTCACTCCTCTCCATCTTTTCTTCCCCTCCACCACCTCCACCACAGGTCTACATCCCGGAGATGGTCTTCGGCCACCTGCTCACCGGGTCCAACTTCGATGACAACGAGAAGAAGACCACCGGCGGGCGTAACGGCTACGGCGCCAAGCTGGCCAACATCTTCTCGCGGGAGTTCATCATCGAGACGTGCGACCGCGAGCGTCAGCTCATGTACACCCAGCGCTTCACGCACAACATGCGCACCAAGCACGAGCCGGTCATCCGCAAGTCCCCCACCAAGACCAGCGAGTACACCAAGGTCACCTTCCGGCCGGACCTCCGCCGCTTCGGCATGACCCACTTCGACGAGGACACCGTGGCCCTGCTGCGCAAGCGTGTCATCGACATGGCCGGCATCCTGCGCGGGGTCAAGGTCTACCTGGACTCGACTCGCATCCACATCAAGTCCTTCAAGGACTATGTGGACATGTACCTGAACCCCAAGCCGGTGGAGGACCCCGCCACGGCCGGGGCCGCCACCGACGCCATCGAGGTCAAGGGCCCGTTCGATGCCCCGCCGCCGGTGTTCCACGAGATTATCAACGATCGGTGGGAGATTTGCGTGGCCCCCTCGCCGGATGGGCAGTTCCACCAGGTGACCTTCGTCAATGCCATCTGCACGTACAAGGGCGGCACCCATGTCAACTACATCGCCGAGCAGGTGACCGAGGCCATCAACCAGGTGGTCTCTCGCAAGAACAAGGAGAAGGCCATCCGGCCCTTCCAGATCCGCGCGCACCTGTGGGTGTTCGTCAACTGCCTGATCGAGAACCCGACCTTCGACTCGCAGACCAAGGAGAACATGACCACCCGCGCGTCGCAGTTCGGCAGCACGGCCCCCATCTCCGCGCGCATGTTGGGACGCAGTGCGTTCTCTCCTCGGTCTTTCGCTCCTTTGTCGCTTTTCCCGCCCCGCAGGCTTGGCATATGCCAGGCCGTCTCATATGCCAGGCCATCATGGCCACCACCCCTCATCTCTCTCTCTCTCTCTCTCTCTCTCTCTCTCCCCCGGCTGACATCCCCCTCCGCCGTGCAGTCACCAAGTCCGTCATCGTGGACAATGTCCTTGATCAGCACCTCCGTCGGCAGACCACCGCCCTGCGCAAGACCGACGGCTCGAAGAGCTCGCGCCTGGTGGGCATCCCCAAGCTGGACGACGCCAACCAGGCCGGCACGCGCAATTCCCACAAGTGCACCCTCATCCTGACGGAGGGTGACTCGGCCAAGGCCCTGGCCGTGTCCGGCCTGGTCGTCGTCGGCCGCGACTACTACGGTGTCTTCCCCCTGCGAGGCAAGGTGCGCCTCCCCTCTCGCCGCCGCCCCGCCGCTCCTCTGCTGCCCTGACCGGGGTCGTCTGACGCGCCCATGGCATTCTTCCCCCCCCCCCCGCCCCCCCGATCGCAGCTCCTCAACGTCCGCGAGGCCAGCATGAAGCAGGTCATGGACAACGAGGAGATCACCCAGCTGAAGAAGATCATCGGGCTTCAGCAGGGCCGCGACTACACCTCGGTGGACTCGCTGCGCTATGGCCACATCATGATCATGACCGATCAGGACCACGATGGGTCCCACATCAAGGGGCTGATCATCAACTTCCTGGACCACTTCTTCCCCTCGCTGCTGCGCATCCCCGGGTTCCTGCTGGAGTTCATCACGCCCATCCTCAAGGCCACTCGCGGCCGGGAGAGCAAGATGTTCTTCACCATCCCGGAGTATGAGCGCTGGCGCGCGGAGGTCGGCAACGCCCGCGGCTGGACCATCAAGTACTACAAGGGTCTGGGTACCTCCTCGGCCAGTGAGGCCAAGGAGTACTTCTCGGCGCTGGACCTCCACCGGAAGCGCTTCATGCCGTGCGAGGCCGAGGAGCGCAACCTCATCGACATGGCCTTCAACAAGCGCCGCGCCGATGAGCGCAAGGATTGGCTGGCCCGCTGCGAGGAGGGCACCTTCCTGGACCACTCGGCGTCGGACATTTCCATCACCGACTTCGTCAACAAGGAGCTGGTGCTCTTCTCGCTGGCGGACAATGTCCGGTCCATTCCCTCGATTGTGGATGGGCTGAAGCCCGGCCACCGGAAGATTCTCTTCTGCTGCTTCAAGCGCAATCTCCGCCGCGAGGTGAAGGTGGCCCAGCTGGTGGGCTATGTGTCGGAGCATTCGGCCTACCTGCACGGCGAGGCTTCCCTTTCCATGACCATCATCGGCATGGCCCAGGACTATGTCGGGTCCAACAATGTCAATCTGCTGGAGCCGCGCGGCATGTTCGGTACCCGTCTGAATGGCGGGAAGGATGCCGCCTCGCCGCGTTACATTTTCACCGTGCTGGCCCCGGCCGCGCGGCTGATCTTCCACGAGGCCGATGACGCCCTGCTGCACTACCTGGAGGATGATGGCACTCGCATTGAGCCTCGCTGGTATGTGCCGGTCCTGCCCATGGTCCTGGTCAATGGGTCGGAGGGCATCGGCACCGGGTGGTCCTCCTCCGTGCCGAACTTCAATCCCCTGGACATCATCGACAATCTGGAGCGCATGATGCGCCGGGAGGACCCGGTGGAAATGCACCCCTGGTACCGGGGCTTCTCCGGGACCATCGAAAAGTTCCAGCCCGACCGGTACCGGGTGTCCGGCCGGGTGACGCGGCTGGACGCGACGACGGTGGAAATTTCCGAACTCCCCGTCGGCACCTGGACCACTCCGTACAAGGAAATGCTGGAGGGCCTCATGCAGGACACCCTCACCGAGAAGGAGACCGCTTCCGGGGCCACGCGCAAGTCCGGCAGCCCGGCCCTGGTGAAGGAAATCCGCGAGCACCACTCCAACACCACGGTCCTCTTCCATGTGGTCTTGACCGAGGCCGGGGCCGCCCTGTCGGACGAGGAGTTCTCCAAGCGCTTTAAGTTGACCTCCACCATTTCCCTGTCGAACATGGTTCTCTTCGATGCGCAGGGCCGCCTGCGCCGGTATGACAGCCCGCTGGCCATCCTGGAGGAGTTCTACCACTTGCGTTTGCAGTATTACGTCCTGCGCAAGGAGGACCTCCTGCGCCACCTGATGCACGAGCAGTCGGTCCTCAGCAACAAGGCGCGCTTCATCAAGATGGTCATCAGTGGCGAGCTGCGCCTGGCCAATCGCCCGATCCTGGACATCATCGCCGAGTTGTACCGGCTGAAGTTCGACCCGATGCCGCGTGGCGTCGGGACCGCCGGCGCCAAGTCTCGGATTCCCGATGCCGCGGCCGACGGCGCCGCCGCCAGCAGCGGCATCACCGTGGCCGGGGTCGACGGCCCGGAGGAGGAGACCCAGGAGGAGATCGATGCCCGGAATGCCAGCCAGGCCCTCGGCACCAATCCCAACCTGACCTTCGACTATCTGCTGAACATGTCCATGCGGTCCATGACCAAGGAGCGCGCCGAGGAGCTGATTCGCCAGCGCGAGCAGAAGACCCTCGAGGTGGATTCGCTGGCCGCGCGCGACCCGACCGACCTGTGGCGCGATGATCTGACTGCCCTGCGGGCGGAGATCCTTCGCCTGGAGGCCGCCCGCGAGGCCGAGCATGTGGACCTGCTTGAGCGCCAGCGCCTGGCCCTGGTCAGTGGCAATGCCGCCACCAGCAAGGCCCCTGCTCGGCGTGGCCGCCCGGCCGCCGCCGCCACCGGTGCCCCTCGCCGCCGCGTCAAGAAGGAGGACTAAGCAGCCGGTGCGCGCAGTGAGTCGTGGCGGGCGGGCGGGCGGGCGGGCAGGCGGGCAGGGCGTGCGCGTGCCCGGTTGAGCGGAGGCGAGACAGCCACCCGATTCCCCGGGGGGAGAGGGGGCCGCGGGGGGCGAGGACAGCCGGCCATACGGAAGACGACTGCGGTGTGTCGGTGTGTATGCCACGTGCTTCCTCCCTCCCTCTCTCCCCCCCCCCCTCTCTCTCTCTCTCTCTGCTGCCTCCCCCTAGACCCCTCCGTGATCGTGTGCCGTGTGCACCGCCGTCCCAGGCCCCACTCCCGCCCCCCTGGCCCTGCTCGCGCTTCTCCTCGTCTGCTCTGCCCGCGCGCACGCATATACCCACATCTCTAAAAAGAAAAAAGAAGCCCCATGCAGGGCACACGGCCCGCGAGGGGAGGGGGAGAGCCGCGGCGCGCGTCTCAGGGTCCCGTGCTCCATGTTCCTGAGGTGCCCCCCCCCCCCTCTCTCCCTCTTCGAGGAAGGCCCAAAATAGCCGATTAAAGCCCCCCGATTAAAACCCCCCCCGCATGGGCAAGTCCCTCCCCCCCCCAACAACCCCCTCCTCCCTGTGAGAGGGAG